GTTTTCCTCCATTGATAAAGCTTCAAGGAGTGGTGAGCTAGGCGCCGAGAGGAGCTAGCGAGCTAAGGTGGTTCGTGGTGGCCGAGGAGACCTCCGGTGGCGCGCGTCGAAGGCTCTTTCTCACTTCCCTTTGCTCCTATTTTATTTATTTTATTTGTGGGCTGTTGGAACGAATATTTTATGGATTTTTCTATGAATATTTCGAACCCCACCATGAACTAACTTATTTGGTGGTGGTTGGTTTAATGGATGTTTAAACTTTATTTTTAATGGTATGTTTAAGTTTATTTTGGTTCTTTATTTGCTTTGCTTATGAATGCTTCACCATCTAGGCTTGTAAGAGGCATGGAAATGTCCATTTCTTAGATGAAGGTTAGGTGTTCGGAAGAATCCTAAGCTAAAAATACTTGTAAGTATTCGGAAGAAACGCAAGACAAGATCCTCATAAGCAATGGGTTATAGTATTTTCAAGGGGCTTTGAACCGGCCTAGGAGTATTATAACCTAATCCCTTAGATCTCGGAAGAGACTAGGATAGGATTTCAACGACTAAAAAGGGTGTCTTTATCAATAGGGTAGGCTGTCCAACATCGTTGAGTGAGAGCAGATGCCTTGGCATCCTATTCTGTTAGGTTCCTGTGAGAATATTTTAGGAAAGCCCTGTCGAGTAAGTAACGACCAGATAGCTTAAATCTGCCTGAGAGATAAGTTTAACATCCTTAGATCAATCCCTACCATTCATTCCATTGAAAGCTTGTCACGTGAGGATTATCTTCTTTTTATTTTATTTTCTATTTATTTACTGTTTTTTTTACCATTTTCCTTTGCCATGACATTTCTTTTTGTTACTCATACACATTTCATTTGCCTCGGCATAATCATTTGTGAATATCATTAGCTATACTTAATTAATTTAGAATAGTGCATAAATTTTACTCAATATCCTTCCAATCCCTGTGGATACGATACTCACTCATCACTGTATTACTTTTGCGATTGTATATACTTGCACATTATTTACGTATAATTTTATAGTACTCGCAATACGCAACATACTTGACTCATATATTTTTATAGTATAGTTGTGGGGGTAAAGAATTATAATAAAGCTTATAAAATCAAAGATAAATACAAGACATAAATAAATAAAAATGATAAATAAGTAATAAGTAATAGTATAAATTATAGGAGAGTAATGATTTATCTCATTTTAATATTATGAATATCTATAATAATTTATATTATTAACAATTTTTTATGATAATAATCAAATTACGTGTATCGTTAAAAATTTCATTAAAAAAATCACTAAATACAAACTCAGAGAAAGAAAAGAATATATAATATAATATTATTGACTCGATAAAAAAAACTTTACAAAAAAATAGTCAAGCGAAAAAAAACCTTGGTTAAATAAAAAAGTGAGTACATCATATTTTTTTTAAACATCATTTAATATAGTCGAGTCATGTATTTTAATATTATATTTATACATTAAATTAAACCCATCAAGTGATTTGTATATTATTTTTAAAAAATAAGATAAATTATACGTTTAGTACCTAAATTATCAATTTTGGTATATTTAGTATATAAATTTTTGATTTTTTCAAAACTATATCTAAAGTTTACTTTTTAATTTTTTTAGCACATCTCCATTAAAATTTTAATTTTTGTATCATTTTAGTACTTTCGTTCAAAATTTGTTGGTAAGTTTTAAAGAAATTGAACGTTAGGTACTAAAACGAACTAAAATTTATAGTTTAGGTATTAAATATGTTAAGTACTAAAATGAAATGAAAATTAAATGTTCGGTATGTTTTTGAAAAAAATAAAAGTTTAAGTACTAAAATAGACCAAAGCTGATAGTTTAGGTACTAAATATTATACATTGATTTTTAAAGAAAGAAATGATTTGGTGAAAGGATTAATGAAATTATCACTTGAAAGAAGCAAATGCAATTGCTGGGATTAGCCAAATTATCACTTGAGAGAACCAAAAGAAATTTTAACCGAAGAAAATGAAGGGAATTGGATTAAAGGAAGCCTAATTAGAAACGATGAAAAATTGGGAAGAGATCGGGTTAGAAGAACCAAAAGAAATTGCTGGACTTGGGTTGAAAAGAGATGGGGTTTAGCAAGAGTTGGGCGTTAATCCCATTTTGGTATTTAACCCTCGAAATTAGCATAATCATTAGAATACGGTGAATGTATAAAACTACCTAATAAATACTTGTCCTAAATCCTACGGCTCTAGAAGGATTAAAATTTAAAGTAAGATAGCCCCCTTGCTAGTATTAAAGCAATTACTTTCTCATGAATCTGAAAACCCACCGAGTCACAAACATAACACTATATGCCCACATAAATGGTATATATCACTCACCAACTCCACCTCTCTTTAATCACTCTATACGTGCATTTTCGGTTGAGGAAATCATAAGATGCAATAGCGGATCTAAGTAGGTTTTATTTTACTAATGGTATACTCAAACGAAAAAAAATGTGCTTATATTCATCATTAAAAATATTTCTGAATCTGTTACTAATAAGATGAATATTTTTTCTTTCGATAAGAGAGTTAAATAATTGCATCATCGGATAAAAAAAAGTTCAACCAACAACACCCAAGTTGAAGATTTATCACTTCTTGGGAACCTATAATTTACCCTTTTTTTTAATTTCCTCAATGACCTTCCAACAATTTAATCGGAACAATAATGTACCCTTTTCCTTTGATTGTATTTCATTTTAGGAATCAAGGGGATTAGAGTAGTATGAGCCGAAAACAAGTATATCCCAAGTTTAAATGGAACATCTTTAGGATTTGAGAATTAAGATAACGTGTTAGCATACTAACTTCAAGTGCAATGCAATCCAAGCACACAAAATAAATACGATGTGACACAGAAGTTACAATACTAATGTAAAATATGACACAAAATTAAATGATCAATTATGTTATATATGTCATAGATGACATGAAATTAATACTTACAATCTATATAAAGAGATAATAGTCCCAACTTGTCTGGAGGTTGACCAAAGACCGTTTTAGCACCAATTCGGCTTATTCAAATCTCACTGAAACAACGTGGAACGCTGCTGATAGTCAGTGGAAGCTCGTCTGAAGCCTCCGTGTTCCCCAACGTATCCGGTTTTTCATTTGGATACTTTTGAAACTACTCTCCATGTTCTTCGGGATTGTATTAATGCTCCAAGGATCTGGGACATGACCCTACACCCTTATCTGGAGCGATCCTTTTAGACCTCTGATCTTTCGCAGTGGGTTATTCACAACAGTCGAGTCACCAAGTCCTTACATGATAATGGACCCACCTGGTCATAGTTGCTCCTCTCAACCCTTTGGCAGCTTTGGAAACCTAGAAATGAGCTGGTTTTCTCCAATATGATTCAATCGCCAATATCGATTCTCCAACGTAGCATCTTGTGGGATAAATGCATTGATAATACTGGACAAATCTCTTTTACAAGCAGGACGCCTCTCCTACATGAACAAACCTAGAATAATCCCCCCACAGGATGGTCCTGTTTAAACTCTGATGGTTGGGTTTCCCCCCGTTTCTGGAAGTAGCTCGATAGGAGGCGTAATCCGGGACTCTGATGGTGGTTGGATTGCTGGCTTCAACAAAAGAATTAGATCAAGCTCGCCCCTCCACGCTGAACTTTGACTTTTGAACTCGGAGATATACCCTGAGCAATACCAAGGGATATGCGGGGGCATGTCTGCCACAGTGAATTGGATTTCAAATTTGATTGTGGCCCAGACTTTTCTTACAATCACCGAAGCTGTAGGAACTGGTTTTACTTTCTTGATCCTCGCTGGCATAGCTTTGCTCACAGTCGTTTTCGTTACTATTTATGTGCCGGAGATCAAGGGATTGACATTCGTCGAAGTGGAACAAATTTGGAAAGAAAGGGCTCGTGGAAGCGGTAATAACACACAAAGCCTTCTTGAACAAGGAAACGAATCCTAAACCGACCTGGTTTGCATTTCCACGAAGCTGGTATCTTGTCCAGAAGGCATTTGAAGGTGTGTGCTTCATCTTTGTACACATAAATATTGAAAGGTAGGCATCTTAAAACATTTAGATTGTTTACTGCATTTTGTCTTGTATAGAAGTTGTATCATTGCCGAAGTCTTGAACTTTTGAGGAATGATACATGTTTATTATGGATATTATTTATTGATGATCTTTATGTCTTCGAGCTTTGTTGGAAGGAAAAATGGCAGCTTTAGAGTCATGAAAGATGCAAGCTGTAATAAACATTATAGATTGTTTTTTATTAAAGAAATGGAATGGTCTGTGCTTCCTTTGTTGAAGTAAGAACAAACGGTCTGGATAGAGATATCCTAAAATTCGACTTAGTGGAATCCCATATTTTGTATATCAGAAAAAGAAATGATCCGTCAGGTTCAGGATTGATTTCAGATAGTAGGTGTTAGAATGTAATTAGATATAATAATAATAATTAGTTAAGAGGTTGTTGATATTAGTTAAAAGTCTGTTGGTATTTGATGTTAATTTGGGTTATATAAACACTGTATTTTAAAGCATTAAAGATTACTCGAGTGTTGTAGTCATTTGTTAGGAGTTACTAATAATAAACTTGTCTTCCTCTCCTTTGTTATCAAAATCCCTAACTTTGTCATAGCCGGTCGCCTCTTCTCCTTCACACACTCCGGCCACCGGCCGTTCTTCCTTCCATGCCATCAATACCTGTATAGAAGCAGGCATCTTTCTGAAAGTTTGCATGCAGTTGAAACTCTCTCTAATTGGCACATACTTGCATAAGAGTGTTATATGGCTCAATGCCTTTCTTTCTCATTGTGACAATTATATCTTGTCTCAAAAGCCATCCCCTTCTTGCAAAAAGTGCATATTCCTGAGTCACATCTGCATAAATGCGTTTATATGCAAACTATAAATTTTAAAATTATAAACTTTTATTATCTAAAATTTCAAATTCCTTGTAAGATTGCAAGTTACCATAAAAGTTTTCATAAACTCTTTCTACACAAGTTCATACAAAATCAGCATAAATACACATGAAGCAAAACTTCAGGTTTCTGACTGACCAAAATATCTTCCTGAAACTGTCGCCAAAATGTTGAGCATGATAACTTCATCATCAACCTCAGACTTCCCAGCTCTCAAATTAGCACATTTCCGAAGCAGACTACGAAGGGAGGCGCAAGTGTCGGCGTCCAGAGGCGTGTCAATTGCTGCACATAAAGCAAATAGCCACACACAGTTGCTCCTCGACAATGAGCTCATGTTCTCAACCGAGCTTATCTGTTTCCTAAGCATCGAAACTCGAGCTACTGAGTCCATCTTTCGGATTGCAGACAAAGTTGGGAAGTCACCACAAGTATCACTGATACAGGTTTTAGGACATGGATTGTTCTGAGCCAGTGAAATCTCATCTGCAGATTTTGACAAAAAAACCTGGTCAGAGTGGACTTCACCAGTTGCATGGTTAAAATTCTCAACAGCACCCCCCTCCGGGAGCCGACACAGGTCGTCTGCTTGAACAGTTAACCTTGGTAGTTTACAAGAAACCTCGGCACTGGGATCCTCCATATGTGACAGAGTCTGAGATCAAAAGAAAAAAATATTATTTGTCTTACATGTTTCCAAATCTTAAAATATATCTAGAATTAAAAGAAACAAAAGCCTTTCTCCTATGCTTGTCCTGCTCCACCTTTGTCGAAATACCCATATCTGACATCCGTGTCGAACACATATTTGGACATAGGTGGCGATATGACCCTCCAAATATATGCAAAAACTTCTAAAAAAAATGAACTTGCCCATATTGGTCGTACCGCATAGGTCTGTGTTCAACTATAAAATTTGATTCCATGTAACATAGCAGTTCTCGTTAATGCTCAATGGTACTAGAAAATTCAGTTTTAAGCACTTTAAAAACAGGAAGGAAAAGATTGGAAATAGCATTATTCGGATTATAACATCTTTGGTTCACTTCATGTATTTATATATCCAATATTCCAACGTCAAAATTACATGTTTCACTTCAAGATTATTCAATCAGCAAACGGAGTCAAGAGATGACAGCTAAAATAAAACGAGAGGACACCCAAAATGTTGATGAACTTAAAACCTGAAGAGCTCTTCTTATTGTAAACAGAACACAATCAAATGGGACCGAAAGTACATACCATACGTAGCTCCAAAAAATCTGCAAGAAATGCTTCCTCCCACTGTTTCAGTGGCAGCAAATGTTCGGGACAGTCGGCAATTTCTGGAATCTGAGGCATATAAACACTTTGTTCCTTGTTTGATGTAAACTTGTGAGGCTTCGCAATCTTTATTTTGGGAATTTGAGCAGCTTCCCACCTAAGGGAAATTAAAGGACTATATTAGTTTGATATGATTAAAACATAGACGTGTTAATCTTGGAAAAACTCAATTTCGCAATAGATCTACCACATGCCACCATAAATAAAAAGGAAGCTGTAACGAAAAAATAGAGTTGCAGCTCCATAAAACACACCATAAGCAGAGAAATCACAACAAAATTTCAAACCATTCTAATGCGGGTCATAGCACCTTTTGCGTAAAACATACAAGTAATATATGGCAACAGGCCAAAATGATGCAGGAGCATAAATTAAATTAAATTATTTAAAATTTGCTTTTTTATGTTAGTATTTAAGTGCATGTTTTGGGTTCTTTTTTATTCTTATCATTTAATGAATTATGTGATTAAGATACAACTTGGTCAGAGTTATAGTATACCTAGTCTACTAGGGAGTAAATATGATTGTTAGTAAGAGTTTATTATAAATACTTTATTAGAGGGTTATCAGGATCGATTTTTATTAGGATCGATTGTTAGCCAGAAGGGGGGTCCTATCTGATGGAGGAGAGGCTGATAACCCCTTTCATAACGATGGACCGGAAAATTTTGCAGCAAAAGGTGTTCTGGAAGAGCAGTTGTTGCATGCCCTAGAAGTGACTGGTGGAGGAGTGAAGAAGAGGATGATTTCCATGGAAAGTTACAAGTTGAAGACTATTTGGATTAGGAAGCCAGGATAGAAAATTATTTTGAGTGGAAATCCATCATTGAACCTAGAAAAGTTCAATTTGTGAAACTGAATTTAAAAGGAGTTGCAATTAAATGGTTGGAGAGAGTCAGTCGAGGAACATAGATCACATCAAGGATAGTAAAAAAATTGTTGTTTGGAACAAATGAAAGGTACGATGTGGACACTAATTTCTTCGAACGGATTATGCTATGAAAATTTTACCTGCTCATAGAGAGTGGTAAGTCAATTGACCACTACATTGCAGAATTTAATAATTTATAATTTAGAACATGATCAACAGTATGCCTTACAAGTTGAGAATAGGGTTTTGCATTATGGTGAAACCTTTATCTAGTAGAGATGATGGCATTACCTATGGCAGTTACAAGACTCAAAATAAGATGATATTACAGAGTACCACTCCTACTCCAACAACTTATATTAAACTTAGACCTATGTTCAGGTTTCCCAAAGTTCTACTTTGAATTGTTGCAAGGCTACAGGGGAAGACAGCTTATTATACCAATTGAAACTCTATAAATAAGCATGTTCTTTCAATTCCTCAAAAAATAATAGTGATTTGTGAAAGCAGTTGCACTTTCTATGATATGGTTTGAACTGTGAAGCTACCCTACGAATAGGTGTGAAAACAGATAAACCATGGAAGAAAAAACAGTATTGCTGACATAGAAATTATATTAATAAATCAACTGACAATTTAAAGATAATGGTCGATTACCTGACACGCCTGAGATATTCTAGTCCGTCCTCGGGAGGACCAGAATCGAAGTCAGGTTCCCCTTCCACCATGAAAGCGGGCCTAAGAATGGTGGTGTAATCTTCGTCGCTGTCATCATCTTCAATACATTCTTCTTCTACACCAAAAACGGCATCTTCAACTTCAACATCATGAGAAGTAAAACCGAAAGGAAAAATATTTTCCATCTCATTGTCCTCCATGTACTCTAGTTCATTACCCACATTTTCAGAATAATTTTCCCCTGAAAGCGATCAAAAACTTTAAGGAATGCTTGCGCATATGAGAATATTAAAACGACAAAACATGAAAAATATGCACGTAACAGCAAACAGAAAAACATTATAAACAAGCAAGTAACAGAAAGCGGAAAACACAAAAAAAATGCAACACTTGCATTGCAAGGCATTCAAAAGTTGAATCATTAAAGAATATCATCGCTTTATCAGTTTCTAGTTACAAAGAATAGCATATCTATACTTCTAGCACACACATTTGAATCACAGCAGGACTCCTACATACAATAGCCTATAGGAACTAGACACGGGTATAATGCACCTAAGTATACACAAGAAAATCCTATTATTTGAATTGTTGCACATAAGGTCTTTTGCAGAATGCTTCAGGCAATTCTTCAATGTACAAAGATATTGAGACCATTCCTTGTTCCCCTTCCAGCAACCACACCTGTGACAACAGAAAATGAACCCATCAAGTTGACACCAAATGAGCTAGATTTTAGTCGATGGAAGAACAAACTGCTCAAAATGTCCAAGACATTCCATATCAATTAAAAGATATCAGTTTTTTTATATTAAAAAAAGAACTGATGAATAAGAGAAAAAGCTTTAGTTATTTAACTTTTGAAAGATAAAACTACAATTTTTTGTAGGAATGGTCTCCAGGAAGGAATAAAAAAGAAGTAAAGAAAATGAAATCAGAAAATTTAGAGGACCTGAAGCAAAAGTAAATTTTTCACTATCAAAACTGGCCGAAATTCCATTAAAGAAACATGCTTGCGGTAACCAAGACAACCAGAAAGCCACACCAGGTATTAGAAAATGCATCTAAATCTTAGTTTTCATAATACCAACAAAGTTTGACTTAGAGAAGAACAATATCCATTATTCATAACGGTCATGAAAATTCTTCTTTAGGTGAATGAATTTTAGAAACAGCTTGGAGAATAATCTACGACACTACATTAGAGAAGCAAAAAATCCCCATTTTTCAGTTGTCACAGGTATGATGCCAGATTGTAAAGTAAAAGCTATTTGGCAGATAAAGACAGGTATACCTCTAAATATAAACTAAAAACTAACAGGCCTGTTCTCACACCAAATTAGGTTCATTAAAAATTAATACTCTAGATAAAGACAATGTATCAAAATCTCACTCATTCATTGCTCGAAAGTTAAATACATAAATAACGAGCTCTTCTTTCGAGTTCCGACCACACCCTTGAGAATAAGCCTATACATCACAGCCACATTCTAAGATAATGCCATCTTAAAAGAAGAAGAGAACACAAAGCACTACCATGGAGCTTACCACTACATATCACACCATACAATTCAAAAGATTGATAAAGTTGTATCACCATAAGAACATGAGAACATCCATACCATGTATTAAGCTAATGCTTTAGACTAAGAAATTCAACACGATAGTAAATAGTGATAACAACAACCAAATGCATACTTAAATCATTAAACTACATATCTTAATAAAAGACAAAATAACATACTTATAATTGCAGGAGACCCTGTCTTCTTTGCAAAGTCATGACGTGTATCCGAGCTCGAACCTGAGCTGATTTTCTTCTGATGTTTCCACCTTCCCAAGTCCTCATACTCTCTGATCACATCTTTACCAAGACTTTTATATACATCCCTCCAAAAATTCCTCTGTTCCACACCATTAGCAAACCTCAAAGACTCTAACTCTTTTCTTGAGTACATTATCTTATTCTGATTTCCGCTTTCTGTCTTCCCATTTTGAACTTCAAATATTTCAGTTGACTCAACGTGTCTCACAGTTCCAGATTCCCCCAAAACCTTTTTTACATTCTTTCTCTTTCTTCTTGATCTTTTAGTTTTGGTACAATCAATTTCATGTTCCCCCTTCTTTTTCTCACCATTTCCAGTTCTGGAGAGAGGAAATGATCCAATCAAAGCCGTATCATCGATAACTTCAATCATTAAAGACCCTTTAACAGGCAAGTCAAGTCCTTTGGTACCTCCAAAGATGTTTTCAACTTCAAGCTCATCCAAAAGTCGTTTCTTTTCAGCTTCCAAGACAGTTTCAGATTCCAAATCTTTTCCTTTGATAACCCTTTTCTCCTCAAATCCCAAACAAGTCTCCAGATGTTCCTTGTTATCAGCTTCAATGGAATTGACTTGGCTACCAACTTCTTGAACTCCAAAGGAACCCTCTTTGGTTTCCACATCATATACCTTTTCTTTCTCGAAAAGCCCAGAAAGAGAGACTTTCTTTTGAGTGAAAGAATGGAGACCCATTTCTTGGTTGCCCTCAGAAAGAAGGGGGAAGCACTTGGCTTTCTTTGGACTGCTATGATCCATAGCTGTTTCTTCTTGGCGGTCAGGTGGGGTTGAATCCCGGCGGTCGGCGGTGGTCTCAGAGAGAGAGGAGGGAAGTTGAAGAAGAGTTTCTTCTTTTTGGTCAGTGTCAGCAGAGGTTCTGCGCTTGGAACCAACTTGTGAATCGGAATCCACGGCATAATCAGCCATTCTTGAGAAAGAGAGAATGAATAAACTGTTTGAGAAGAAGAGAGAAACGCCTGGGGTTCTTGGATGGGGTTCTGTGGGCATATATCGGATTATATATATAGGTCAGCTTCCTTGCTATATTTATTGAGTATATACCCCTTTCATCACTTAACTATATTTTCATTCTAATTTAGTTACTAAATTTAAATTTTTTTAATTTAATCATTAATTTTTTTAAATTTTTCATGTTTTGATTACTCTACAATAACGTGGATTATTTTATTATTACTTTTAATACGGCATGACATGTTTATTACTAATATTTAATATCATATAATTAACGTGAATTATATTAATATGAACGAACCAAATAATTTTAGTATTTAGATACATTCTTCGATATTTAAGTTAATGAAGATGTTAGAATTCTATAAATCATAAATATAAAAATATCATAAAAATTATATTTGTTTAAAAGATTATTAAAATAAATATTCAAACATTCTTATAGATAACATTCTCAAACTCAAAACCTTAAGGCATAATAATAATCCCTTAACTAAATTACTAAGTTCGCTTAATTTGTCCGTTTAAATACTAATTTAATAAAGTACAATGATTGAGCAAAAATATATGTCAGGTTTAATCATATTGGTATACTCTTTTCGTAAATACTTATAAACAATAAACCTATTTTTTCAGGGTAAATTACGTATATAATATTTAAACTACTAGTTTTGATATATTTTAGTATCTAAACTTTTAATTTTTCAAAATTAGACCTAACATTTAGTTTCTGTTTACTTTTAATACCCGATGTTAAAAACTTAACATGTCTAACACCTAAACTACCAATTTTAATCTGTTTTAGTGCCTAAATTTTATTTTATTTTATTCAAAATTTAATATTAAATTTTGAACGGGATACTAAAATAAAACAAAAACTAGACTTTTAAGTGTAGTTTTGGAGAAAATTAAAAGTTTAAGTATTAAAACGGATCAAAACTGATAGTTTAGGTACTAAAGGTGTAATTTACCCTTTTTTACCGATTCATCAATCCTTGTGTAACAGCCAAACCAGATTGGACCAAAATTGAATAACGTCGACCAGATACTGTAGGTACTCGGTTTTTACTTCTTATTACAGCAAATAGCAAAAACCAACAGTGTCTTTTCTTACACTTATCAACATTTCTGTACAATAATACCACCTTTCATAGCATTGCTTCTAACAGAAGAGCAACTGGACTCACCAAACCTGACATCAAGTATGCACCTAAGCAGAAACTGAAGTTTGTTCTACAGACCCTTTTGGCTGATTTTGTTCCCAACATCTTATTTAATGCGCCAATATAAGCCTTGACACTCGAGACAACGATATCCATTCCTGCCCCGGTTCCACTGCCACGAAACATCGATTTTATGCACTCAATTTCAGATGTGGAAGTAGTGAAAATGCAGGATGGAAACAAGAGTGAAAGAAACCATACGTAAATGTTCGATGAATGGCTTCACCCGTCAAAGCGTGAGTTGAAACGCGACTATTCTCGGCACGGATTAGAACACGAGTGGTGGCGATTGCATCGGTGCCTACTGTAGCAGCATTCATGGAATACTCGAGAAGTGTAATTGGTTCCTGCAAAATGAAGTATTGGACACAAACCTTAGCAAAAAATGTAGAGACAGTATTCAAACACGAAGTGCAGAACTATTAACTGCTGTCACCAATTCGAATCCCTCCTTATATATTATGAACACAGGATACCGTTGCATACATGTCATCCCTTACTAGTGGCTGTATGAACCAATTAAACTAAAAGCTTCGGGTTCAGAAAATATTTTCCACACAAGGGAGAGGGATATGGTACAAAGAGAAGAACAGAAGATATTCAATTTGGAAGAATTCTAAATCAAAGCTATTAAAATATTTTAAAGAAGATTTATGGTCTTTATTTCATTTCTACGTTGTAACGATATTAGAAAATGTCAACGTGCTTGATTCGTGGTTCAAAACCTTTATAGACGGTACAACATATAAGATCATCTGTGTTTCCAGACTTATCCAAGTTATTTGCTTAATTCAAGGTCATTGGAGTACTTAAATCAATTAGTATTCAAGTTTATCTTTGTCACTTCAGAGTTTCCAGAGTAACTCTTTCGTTTTAACAATTCAAATATGTACAATACTTCCATTCAGTTCAACTTTGTCATTTCGAGAAATTCATACGTGTAAGGTACTTTCGGTAATTTAGTCTGTGGGTGTTCGTTCAGGAATTAGAAATTTTAAGTCTTTTACCATATTAAAAATCATGATCGATTAACATTATTATTTTCACTTTTCGAGAAAATACTTATCTTTTATATCATACCAGTATTTTCGTTGTTTCTTATCCAAGCATTTCCGACATTTAACCTTTAACGAGGTTAATCAGAATTTACACGTCCTGAGATTGATTGATTTACTGATTAAATCACTGAACTTAGATTTGTTTCCGATAGATCTGCCAAATTCTTTTACGAGTCGTCTGAGTCTTATACAATGTTCTGTCTTTATTCCAAATTCCGTTTGAGTCCAATGATAATTAAATACACCTCATGGACTAATTATTTCCATTCATGCATTTATCAATTATCAATGTGTTCCAGAAAATATACAAAAGGTAGTAGAGTGTTACCACGATTTCTGTGCTCCATCGATCGAACATTTAAACTCCATTCAATCACTCTCGAACTTGAATTTAACGTCCAATAATTCATCAGATACATATCAAACAAATTTACGTCAGAAATTGAACTAAATTGAGAAACCAACTTGAATCCGAAGATAATACACTGAAAAACGTCTTACTGAGTGCGAATTTGGCAAAACAAACTTTGGATTCGAACTCAGGATGTCAAAAAACATAAAATAGGATTTTTCAAAAAATTTGACTTTTTTGTCAATGTCAAAGTCAACAGTCAGATCGATCAAAGTCAACAATCAGACCGATCAACGGGTCGGGTCAAAGTCAATAGGTCATATTGGTTCGGTTTGACTTGATTCAGTTTGGGTTGGCTCAGTTCGATTCGGGTTGACTCAGTTCGGTTCGAGTTGACTTGGACTGGTTCGAGCCAATCCAACTGGTTCTAGAAGAAACCAGAGTGTGGAACGAGCCCCACGCGCACCACCGGCGCGTGCGGTGGCGACGGGGAATGGGGACAACAATCGAGCATTCCATGAGCAACCAATCATCAAATACAACCCAAAACAATCCAAAAATCAACCAAAATCCACGATAAAACAACTGGAAACATTCGAACTTACCCTTAACGTCGAATGATGAAATCAACAGCAATGAACGATAGCTTTGGTTGGGTAAGGAGCGGATGACGATGGGGAACTCAGTGGCGGCGGCGGTGAGGTGAACTGAAGACCGAGGTGGCCGAAATTTGTAAAAAAAAATAGCGGGTCACTGGCGATTTACCCTCGATTCAGGCCAAACGGTGGCTGATTCGGGTTGTGGGAGGTTGAGTCACCGAAGGATGCTGGTTCTGATGATGGCGGCGGGGCACGGCAACGACGGTCAGAACGGAGCGAATCACAGAGGGTTATAATATCTAAGGTTGGGAAATTGATGATTTTTGGGGTTGAATCATGGGATTTTGATATTTTATTTTTCACTTACCAGGAAAAATGGTAAAATTCAAGGTTAAGTCTCTTAATTTCCCATAAGGTCCAAAATCGAGTTGCAACTTTTACAAATTTATAATTTAGTCCTCAAAATTTCCCTTGTTAAGACTTTAATTCGATACTTTAAAACTAGCCCCTAAATTGGGGTGTGAATTACCCTTTTTATCTATTAATTTTACCATACATCCCAACTAGGTTGAGTTTTTTATTGTAATTCATTTTTGGTTACCTCTTTTGTAACAATCGAAAAATCAGTATAGAAATTTTCTAACGTTTGGTGATAAGAAAATTATTTTTTGACATATTATATTTTGAGAATCGATTAATTTTATTTATATTACGGGTTAAAGAAAAAATTGATTTTGGGATGAGTATTTAGTGACTGCAATGGAAAAATGAAAAAATTGGAAACTTTAGTAAAAAGGTTAAAGTTAAGTGTCAAAGTTAAAATAAGTGAAAAGCTAAATGGCTAAGGACTAATTGAACCATGATTATTTTCAAGAGGTTGAAAGATGGATGATTAAATGTATAATTTTATCATTTTAAAGTAAATTTTTTCTTATTTATGCTAAATCTTCCATCATTTTTTTTGTCGTTGACATCCTGATAAATCAAGATCGACTAGGATTGTACATCTAGTTTTGGTAAGTGAGTCTCCTAGCAAAGACTTTTTGCATAAACAAATACTCAAAATCTACTTAAACGATATGAAATTTTTCTTTATCCACTTAAATATTTGAATTTGATTTAAATATTCAATTACTAACTAAACTTTTTTGTCCAGTTGTGTATTTAAATTTGGTGGTTTTTTGCTCAAATTGATATTCGAACTTGGCTTTTTTATTCAAATTAGTTAAAATTCACAAGTACTTAAAAATATATCAAATTTAAATACCAATTTGAATCAAGAATTACAAAAAAAGCTTAGATATCAAAGTAAAATTTAAGTACTAAAATATATATTTACCCTAATAATAATAGTGCTTTGAATTTTGAGAGAGAGAAAATGTTCAACTAGTTTTTAGGTAAAATACATATTTAGTACTTAAACTATCAATTTTAATCTATTTTAGTAATTAAACAATCAATTTTGGTCCATTTTAGTATTTAAACTTTTATTTTTTTCAAAATCATAACTAAAGTTTAGTTTTTGTTATATTTTAGTACCCCGCTGTTAAAAAGGGATCAAAACTTATAGTTTAGATATTAAACGCATAATTTAACTTATCTTAAGGTGATTACAAAGTAGTATTTGTTCTAAGTACTCTCAACCATTTGACGATGAACGCTCGGTCACCTCTACTACAATTGTTTGAGCTCAAACTCGGGACCTCTAAGAATAACAATCATTCTTTTAACCACTGAGATAATCTAGTTCATACGACTAATTAGTTTAAGAGTAAATTACATCATTCTTCATTGAAATGTACTCTCTCTCCTATTTTCATCACCCAACTTTCAATTTTTCTATTTTGCTCATTATACTTTACAGATTGAATCATTTTGCTTACTCTACCGTTAACTTTTTAACGGCGCTATGACGTGACACAGGAATTAAAACGACGTTGTTTTGAAAAACTCAAATATATTCTAAAATGACGTCGTTTTGGTGAGTAAAATATGAGAAAGAGAGAGAGTAAAGTTTTAATGAGTCATTGTGTAATATACCCTTTTCCATTCTCTTCTCTATTTTCTCTCCGCCGACAACCGAGTCATTTTTATTTCGACCACCATTGATTGTCGTAAAATGGTGGACGTTCGTTCCCAAAATGGGATGAGTCGGTTCGTCTCGACCATCTAAGTCTGAATTTGGTGGTTGTTTCACAAAAAATATTCCAAAACCCGTGAATTTGGACCGACACATTTCGGTTTCTTCACTTTCAATCTTAAATCCGTGGACTTCGGGACAACTTTTGGCAAAATGGAGGTTAGATTCGAACTCACGACGTTGAGGCAAAGCATCCCATCCCATTTTGGGACAAAACGACACCTTCTATGGCAGTCGACGGTGGCATCCGACCATCTTCTATTTTTATTTTATTTTTTTAATTATTTTATATTAAATAATGAAAAGATACCAAGTCATCAGCCGTTAGAGAGAAAACTAAGGTGTAAGCAAAATGATTCAATTTGTAAAGTTCAGTGAGGAAAATAGAAAAAATTAAAAGTTGAGTGAGGAAAATAGGAGAGAGAGTAATTCACCCTTAATTTAATTATTATAAGGAAGTTCCATTGTGATTGGGTAATAGTTGTCAAAATAAAAGACCTTTCATTTTCAAACTGAAAAAATAGTGTGACTTAAAATGATTAAATATAATAATTTAAGGATTAGTTTGGCCAAAAAATAATTTAGGCACTTAAAACAAAAATAGCTTATAATTTGAGTACTTGTTTCTACCTTAAGCCTCAAACTTTTATTGAAAGATTAAAGGTTAGATTTAATTAAAATGAAAAACAAAAACCAAATGGATGAAAATATAAATATCAACTACTAAATTGATCATTATAAATAAATTAATAATATCATTTTTAAAATATTATGTTAACATAAATACATAGAATAGTATTGTTTTGAGTGTTTTATAATTTGAAGTGAAAAATTAAAAAAAAAACGTAGTATCGAATTTTAGATGATAGTACATTTTTTCAATAAACAATTCACTTTACTTTGACTATAAAAATAGATTATATTGACTAAGTCAATTTACGTAAATTAAACATAAAAAATTAAAAAAAAAAATCATAACATGAAGTGTGTTAAGAATGAACCTACACTTGGCATGCTAGAAAGTTGAGTAAAGTTATAGTACATTCGTGTATAATAATATGGTTCTGTTGGTGCATATGATATGATTTGTACTTAGAGTGCATCCTATGATGATGACTGACACCGTGAAGTGTCTAGTGCTCACATTATATATGACTCGCGACATT